GTGCTCTAAATATGCACATCCACCAAGGGTGATGTGAGTGACATTCCCTTCCCCACACCCTGATCATTTTGGTAAAGGTCATATGGCACCAGCAAAGCAAAAACACATTTCCGTCTCAACTGTACTCCACAGATGTTGATGCTTTAGATCTTCTTTTAAGTGTGAAAATTCTTCAAAGCATCCAATCCTGTACTCACAGGCTCCATATGTTTACAGCCAACCACAAGGCATTTTTCTATGGTAGTCACTAAGGTTTTAATGTAATGCAAAGAGCTGGAACAACAAATCATTATGAAACATTAAGGAGAATGGTAAGTAACTGTAATCAGGACATTTGCTAACAGATCCAATTGAAAATGTTACTTTCTGGTAAGATACAGTTGTTATATTTGCAATGAGATATTATTTTCTGCCAAGCTTGTCCTTTTCTACCTTAAATGTACCCCTGGTGGCAGAAATTCTCTCATACTTTCAACAAGGGCTAGATGTTACTTAAAAAAAAAAAAAAAAGAAATGCTTTCAAGTGCTGACAGAAGGTGGAATCCACATAAATTATCTGCCCCCATTTTTTTAAAGGAAGTGTTTAAGTGGTTTTAGAAAATCAAACAGGATTCAAAATCAAAAAGGGCCTAATTTATTCAGTCTCTATACTTGCAATGCAGAAAGAATTCTAACTCCACACTTTTTTTTTTTTTTTTAAAGAACCACCCAATATTACTTCTTGCTTGCCACTGGCTGTGCAAAGTCAAATTGAAACGCCAACTACTAATTCAAAGTCACATCCATTTCGTAGAACCTGGGACTGTAGTTCATTAAAAATTAGATATTTGCAAGAATTTCAGACATGAAGGTGAGATTTCCCATTATATATAAGTATTGGAAATCTTCAGATTACAAAAAAATAGTCAAGGGAAACATTAGAGTTGCAACTAAGTCTAATTGCAACTAATGAAAAAAGAATCAGAAATAGCAAAAATGAAATCACTAGAAAGCCAAACGAAAGAACAGCCCATGCACTATTTAAACTGCTATTCTGTATCCTGTACAGAAAGATGCAAAGCTGATGTTCTTTTGGAAGATAGACCAGCTGTATACTATTTACTGCTTTCAGTTCACACGGGACTGCTGCCATTTGATTTTAAATGTGATGACCATCTACTAGATTTTAGAACAGCCAATGTAGCTGTTTACAGAACAGGCACACAGTTTAATGGCAAAGCCCAGATGTTAACTTTCTAAGACTTTGCTGAGCACATAAAGGCTAAAAGCTAATGATGTTTCAGTTTGGAAAAAGAGTGACACATGCAGTGCAGACAAAACGGACTGTGCAAGTTTGTTAGGAGACAGATTTTGAAATGCTACAAGACACAAGCTTATTAAAACTTTTCAGCAATAAGAAAAATGCTTCCTGAATAGCAGACTGCAGATAGCACATGAAAAATACACCTTAACAGTTAGTTTTAAAAGGCCAATAAAATCCGCCTGGGTCAGTGCGTATTTAATATTAGTTGGCCTAACCTTTGTTTCCATATACACTCAATGAATGCTAATTTATCCCACAGGATCTTCTCCCTCCTCCTCAAAACATTAATTATGAAAGTGGGATGCAGACACTTCCTGCAGTCCCTGAACACTGTCACTTATCTTCAGGAAATACCATGGTCTTTACTGCAAGCCACTCAACAATGTCTAAGAGCACTGAAATAAGTAGTTTCTTCCACTCTAACACCCCAGTTTGGTTCTTCCTCTCTTTCCAACTACACTGGTCTACACCAGATTAGGAGGATAGTGCGAGAGATCTGGTCTCTGACAAGAAGATCCATCCCATGATTAGCATTTCATTTTTAATGCTGAAGTTCAGGCTGGAGAGAGGTGCCAAACTGTGAACTGTGACTTGTAAATACAAGCCATATCAGTGTAAAATGGATGTGAATCAGCTACATATCCCATGGTCTATCCTTGGAGCCCCCCTTTCAACTGAACTGGTCTATATTTAATAAGATACCTAGTATTTCTATTGTTCATTCCATTAGGAGCTTCTTGGTGCTTTACAAATATTAAAGCAAGTCTTACTTCACCCATGAGGTATTATTCATTTTTTGTAGTAGAGGATTACATAAAAATATTTGATATAAGGATTAGGACCCTGATGTCTTAGTCCCCAGCTCAGTGCTTTCACTGGGCAAAGATTTTACTAAATGGACTCGATATCAAGGAGCTGTTTCATGTAAGTAGTGAGTG